TGAAGCTGGCGATTCGTGGCATGGATGTCATTATCGGCTCGGTCTCAGACGAGCGTATGTCGCAGCACCTCACCGCTGGTGGCCGCTTGGTTGATATCAGCTGGGGTAAGCAGCAACAACAACAGTCGCCGCTGCAACCTTTTGCCCAACGCGCAAATACCTCTTACACCCGCATCAACATGGCTGAGCTCCTGCAGCAGCGTCCACAGCGCGCTTACAACATCTTCCAAGAGGCAATGACTGAGTATCTGGGCGACCAGCCGCCGCAGCCGCATGTCTATACCGCCGGTTCCGAGACGGAAGCATTGCAGCAGGTGGACTTGATGGGAGGCACCGTCGTGACGCTTGACGCCGGCCGTTGCATCCCCGTTAGTTGTATCACTCGCCCCCGATCCCAATTTTCAGCTGATGTCTCGTACGTGATCGCCGGAGGTCTTGGTGGGCTGGGACGCAGCCTGGCGCGGTGGATGGCTAGTCGCGGGGCGCGGCATCTGGTGTTGTTGTCTCGTTCGGGAGCGCGTACAGCGGCAGCGCAAGCATTGGTAAAGGAGCTCGAACGGCAAGGTGTGCACGTAGCAACACCTGCAGTCGATATCAGTCAGCGAGAGTCGCTCGAGCAGGTGCTATTGGAGCTAAAGCACACGATGCCGCCGATCCGGGGATGTATCCAGGCGACAGTGGCCTTGCGCGACAACATGTGGGAAAACATGACGCATGAGGACTGGTCGCTCAGCATTGGCTCCAAGGTTACCGGCTCGTGGAATCTACACTGGTGTCTACCCCGCGAGCTGGATTTCTTCGTGCTGCTATCCTCGCTGAATGGCCTCTTCGGGGCGCCCGGTCAGTCAAATTATGCAGCTGGAAATGCGTTCAAGGACTCTCTTGCGCATTACCGCATCGCACAGGGCCTCAAGGCGGTATCTATCGACTTGGGTCTGATGCTGAGTGAGGGAATGGTTGCTGAAAGCGACTTCCTGCGGTCGATGCTGCAGCGCAATGCCATGCTGATGGATATTGCTATCGAGGAGATGGTCGCCCTCTTCGACTATTACTGCGATCCAACTCTGCCACGCCTAACCCATTCCGCTGCGCAGGTCGTTGTAGGCATTGAAATGCCGTCGGTTGCTTTGGCCAAGGGTCTCGATTTGCACCATTCGGTCCACCGGCCGTTGTTCCGCCACCTGTTCCAGATGGACGCGCAGCGGCACCGAAGGCATGGGGAAGCGGAAGCGCAGATGGCACCGATGGCAATGACGACTGCGCTTGACCGGCCCGCGCTGCTGAAACAGTCAGCATCTATTGTTGAAGCTACTGAACTAGTGCTCGAGTGGCTGTCGGGAAAGCTGAGCCAGGTGCTGGGAATAGCGGCTGCAGACGTGGAGCCAAGTAAGCCCATTCACATGTATGGGCTGGACTCGATGGTGTCGGTCGATCTACGCAACTGGTTTAACCGCGAGATTGGGGCTACATTCACTGTATTTGACTTGATGAGCAACACGCCCCTGCGTGAACTAAGTAGGATGGCCGCCGAACGAAGTCGTTATCGGCAGAAGAGCAGCAACACCACCACCACCACAAGCAGCAGTCCAACGGTGACACGCTCCGATGAAATCGCCGAGCTAGTACGCAAGTACACGGCGGATTTACCCGTGCGCTCGTCCGGGGTGTCGATGGGTGATGCTACTGTTTCGGACCGGTCGACCATCCTTCTTACTGGGTCGACGGGGTCGTTGGGCAACTACCTTTTGCACGGCTTGCTGCGCAATCCCCAGGTCAATAAGGTTTACTGTCTGAACCGATCGGACGACGCTGCAGCTCGGCAACGTCGCAGTTTCTTGGAAAGGGGACTCGATACGTTATTACTTGAGGACTCGAGCCGGGTACAATTTCTGAAGGCTTCGTTTGGGGAACGTCAACTGGGGCTGGCAGAATCGGAATACAACCATTTGCTAGAGTCAGTCGACACGATCATCCATAACGCATGGAAAGTAAACTGGAACCATCACGTCTCATCTTTCGAAGATCCTCACATTAAGGGTGTTCGCGAACTCATCAACTTCAGCATGGCAAGCCGGTATAATGCGCACGTGGCGTTCATCTCCTCCGTTAATACGATCACGGCGTGGAAGCCCTCTGGTGTGGCAGAGGAGCGGGATACAATTCCCGAAGAGCCTATGGAATCTGCAGATGTCGTGATGCCACAAGGCTATGCCGAAGCTAAGCATGTCGGGGAGCGGATCTGCATCGAGGCGTCGAGAAAATGTGGCGTGCCAACTAGTATTCTGCGCGTGGGCCAAATCGCAGGTCCAAATAGCCGGCTGGGTGTGTGGAATCCACACGAGTGGATTCCCACGCTGATCAAGACTTCCAAGTCAATGGGCCAGATCCCTAGCGACCTGGGTCACTTTTTAGTCGACTGGGTTGCTGTGGACATCCTGGCGACCATCGTGCTGGAAATACTCCAAAGTCGCCGAGCCACCACGGCTGCCGCCATGGCTACTACTCCTACTACTAGCAGTGTCTTCCATCTGACAAGCCCGACAGGTGTTTCTTGGAAGTCACTTATTCCGGCCATTCAAGAGAGGTATCCGGTGAAGCTAGTATCTCTCTCAGAATGGGTAGAGGAGCTGGGGCGCCTGCAGGAGCTCTCACCTGAAGAAGTGACCGAGAAACCAGCTATTAAGTTGTTAGACTTCTACCGCCTGCTGGCTGGTGCGATGGAGGCAAGTCCTAGAATGAGTCTGGAGCGAGCCAGGGCAGCCAGTCGGACCATGGCGTCTTTAGGCCCGGTGTCCCTGGCTCAGATGTCAAACTGGCTGGACCAGTGGAACTTTTGAGCTTGATGTAGATTCTTTTGTCTTGACATAGCTATGGAGTAATATCATTATCTCTAACCTACCTACACTATATCCCTCCTCGATCTAGTTCGATTGTAATTCTAGCCCCTGTATATAAGGGGAGGTTGGGCTATCTTCTCTTCATTTTCCCATCAGGTTGTTCAGTGATAGGCTGACGAACTTTTTGATTGAATTTGGCATAAAAGGGTAGTATTCAGGTACAATCTTCCAGTCATGTCCCCACTCCTGCCACTGGATCTGGGGTCATCTATATTCAGTGAGATTGGGTGACGACGACCCACAAAACGAAATGGTAGCATAATGTATTGGTGTACGAGAGGCCTGCCTAAGTAGGATGTCAATCTAGATCGTATAAAGACGCAAAGGTAAAATTCTGCTTCATCGAATCTATCTCTCACCAAAACGCGCAGGCAGTCCCATGATCAGAAATTTCATAGTCATCTCACTCGAACCATCTCTGATCCTTGTCCTCCACATACACCTTAGGAATTTCACCTCTTCCATCAATAAAGACAGAACCACTATCAGGCTGATTGTGGCCGCCCTCCTCATACGAATATGAGACAGTCTTAGGCTTCTCAATAACTCCCAACGTATTCGAAAGAATGGAATCAATGATCACATTGTATTGCGGGAGGGGCTTAGGTCTCGCAGAGGGTCCATAAACCATTGCATACCTTTTCTCATCCGGGCCCAAAAAGAGCCCTGCATTTTTGCTGAAGAGATTCAGAAAGGCGGTCGATTTCTTCCACAGCTGCGTTAGACTAGCATTGTGTTCTTCCATGCTGCAGGGGGGCAGAGGAACGTTAGCTAAAATGGCACCTTTGGTGGAAACGAGCACAAGAGCCGAATTGCCATTCAACCTCCTGGTACCAAGTGTTCTTATGGTTTGCCCACTCGTGAAGGAGACAAAGTCGACTCCGCCAATGGGGACTTCAATTGCCTCGTTGGACTTCAGGGCATCCTCGAAGAGGGATGCCGTGGAGGCGATTGGAAGAGGCATTTTGATGGATGGGCTGGGTCTGGGTTTGAAGCTCGATTGACTATCAGGCAGAGCTGTTCGAGTTTGGCTTTGAGGAAGCTATGAGAATTCCTTAGATTCTTTTTCCTTACCGGCCTATTTATATAATCTTTTCTCCATCTTAGAAGCAACTATATATATGCAAAATCCAACCTGGGTGGGTTTTGTCGAACTCGGCCAAAATTAATAGGATATATACTTAGATATCCTCGATAACAGATGGAAGAAGCCGTTGCAGCATTATATACTATATTGATTATCCGAGAAGAATCAAGAGCCTTAAGTGTTAAACAGGCATCCTTCTTTGTCCTTGGGAATAATGTGTCTACTAATTTAGTCAAACCGAAACGCGGTTTTTATGAAACCTCTTATACTTACTGCTCGGAGCTATACAATGTATATTTTAGTATAGCCTAGAGTACGAAGTCTTCTCTCGGTCGATTGTACTCTGTTTTAAAGGCATAAGTTCTTATATTATTTGGTCTAGAGGAATTTTCCTTGCCATGACTGGATCTTTTCGTTCATCTCTGGCAGGTCGTGGATCCAGTTAGAAATGTTGCGTCGGGAAATAGCAAGGTACTATTGGTCTTCTGTCTCTATATATAACTTGCATTTCCAGCATGTGCTCACCAAAATGAGGAAGCTTCCAGGTCTAATGCATACGTTTCGAAGCTGCACCGCTCATGAACAACTTGCCATCTTCGATCATGCTTCCATTCCAGTCTGATCAATACAGAGGTTCATCTAGGTAGGTGTCGTTGTTAACGAGATGAACCATGGCAATGCTTCGATCATTCCGCTGAGAAGTTGATAGTTCAATTTGACACAATCAGACATGAATCACCCATCCTTAGATACTCCCTTGATCTGGCTGGGATATGCATATGCTACTCACATGCGGGGCTTATGGACGTAAGTTTGGAGCCAAGTAATCCACATGAGTGGCATAAATCACGTCGATTGATGTCCCGGCACGGTTAATGGACCCGATTGCTCGACTCAAAGGGGGTCATTATGCGCTTTGCAGGGATTGCCCCAAATAGGCATAGTGCAGCACCCCAGCTCATATTCTACCCCTCGGGTCCGCAAACACAATATGGGATGTAGAGTTATCCATCATCATGGAACTTGATCTATCAGATATAGAATCTGTTGAACAGATCAAAAGCTCTACATCATCATGTATCTTTCGCACGCGCTGGCGCAACAGAGACTGTATTTTGAAAGTGGTACGCCGACTAATGGTACCTCAAACCTTCAATGCCTAACATGACTGCAGTACCACAGTGTCGAAGCATCTCAGACCGTTCCAATAGATCGCGAAGTAGATATCCATAGGTGCGAAAGTCAAGCCCATCTACGACTAAAGGCTAATGGTCTTTGCCGAAAGGGGCCTATTCCGGATTTTTATGGCCTGATCACAGGCATCAGCCCAGAGAAATGGCTGTCATACCTCAATGAGTTTCTCGATGACAATCTACTTCCCAACGCTTTTCTGATTGAATATATACCGACTCTTCGGTAGATCGCTCTCTATACCTTCTCCAAAAGAGAGGGTCAACAAACTGCATAAAATCCTCGCAGAGATACATCAAGCCGGTGTGTATCATGCAGATCCATATCCGCGGAATATGATGGTTCAGGAAGGGTCAGACAGAGTGCTCTGGCTCAATTTCGATCGGGCACAGCCATTCTCTTACGACTCAATCACAGCTCGTCAGCAGCATTGGCTTGAAGGGGAAAGACGAATTGATGGGTTAGTTCGTTGATGCTATTGTACAAAATGGATCAACATATATGTTATTGTTTCTAGACTGATGGTTTGGAATAGGCAGCAGATATTGAGGAAGGCAAGATTCATCGCACGTAGAAATGTTATCACGAGTAAGTTCAAGTTTCTATTAGATTGGCGATGCTTCGTTGGCTAAGTCGGAACAGTAGCATTTATCCACCACTTCAAAACCCTGAGAACAGCTAATCGGGCATCTGGAAAGATTATTAGGCTTTTTAAACCCAGCTGATATCAATGGGGTGACAGAATGTATAAATTCGAATCTCATCACCGCTATTAGTTGACAGTCTCGAACACACTCAGGTGGAGAGTACGATATTTCAACTTATACTGTACTCTACAAAGTTGGGAAGAAAATCCCTCGGAGGCTACAAGCGTGAGATTAGTGGAAGTCGGATGTTAGCAGATTTGATCTGCTTCATATCCCGGTCGCCCGTAGCCCACCCGGTCGATGAAATTCTCTACGTGCTCAGATTTAAGTTTACCACACATACCTGACATGAGAAGAACTTTTGGTAATTCAAGTGCTGGATACAATCCAATTGAATTGGTAGCGAAAGGCGGACTGCGGGGAGAGCTGGGGCGGGGAATGGAATAGGAGCCGGGGATCGGCAACGTTCATTCATTCTGCTTCTCTCCATCTTACGTCTCTTCTTGCATTCCCCTCCATAAAGCTGCTACTGTAAAAGGCCCAACAGATAAACTAACTCGGTATATAGTGATTTTTCTCGTAAAAAGCTCGCTGTCACTACTCACAACAGATGGCTGAATGGAAAAAAGCTGGAAAGCGGCGCAGAATAGGTATGTTCCACGCCATCATGTTCATCTGAACGAGCACTGATAAGCCAGCAGGATGGTAATATTTCACTGCATTCCGAACAATAATGGATCAGATAGACTGAACAGACATGTCACAGCACTCGTTGCAGAGCCAGCCATACAAACTGTGACGAAAAACGTCCCCGCTGCGGGCGCTGTCAAAGACTCGACCATGAATGCCAGCCATCCGACTTCATTATCCACTCAAACTGGAACCCTCCGGCCTCTCAATCGCAAGCTATGGATCAAACGACCGGTTTCCCAACGTCCACCTGGGACGTGTTCAACAATACTTCCAGCCCATTCGGTAATGCAGTCCCATCCACCCAACCCATCCCTCATTCTAAATCACCATCACGCCCAACCCTCGATACAGAAAAAGTAGCACTACTCCAAGAATACCAAAACGGAGTAGGAACATGGGTAGGCTTATTCGATAACGCCCGACATCTCACGCACACCATCGTCAAACGTGCACTCGAATCCCCACTCCTTCTGAACGCGATATGCGCCCTCACCGCCAGACAGATGAGCATGGTAGGAAGAGGGGAGATGTGGGAAACCACCGCCGTGCACTACTACGGAGAAAGCCTCCAGCAGTTGATCCATATATTGAATGACCCATCATATGGATCTGATGATACCCTCGCTGCAACAGTTCTACTGAGTAGCTACGAGCTGTTTGCCTCTCCAGGTCTGGATCATCATCGTCATGTATCGGGTGCCGTGACTCTGATCAGAACTAATTCACATAATGCTAATTCTGGGGGCTTGAAGGGGGCCGCATTCTGGGTGTATGCGCGCCAGGATGTTGCCATGGCTTTGGTGCATGAGTGTCCTACTATGCTTCTGCTGGAGGAGTGGGGGGTAGACTGGACTGATCAAGAGATAGATGAGGATCTTCTGGGAAATAAAATTATTTGGATTGTGGCTAAGGTTATAGCGCATACGTTTGGGAAAGCTAGTGGTGTCACTGAGCGCTCACTGCGTCGTGATAGAATGCGTTTGATTGAGGAGTTGGAGACCTGGAGGGGGTCGTTACCTACATCATTTGCTGGTCTACCTTTTGGTACTCCTTCTGAAGAAGAATTTTTCAAGCGGTTATTTGCGATTCCTTCAACGGGTGAGTTTATATTCAAGGTCTTAATGATTTAGCTAATAGATGGCCCAGCGGCAGCGATGTGCATGTATCACTTGGCATATCTGCTATTGCTCACCGAAGGACGCAATCCATCCCTTGCGGGTGAGATTCCACAGGTAAATCCAACAAACTACTTATTTACATGTACTTCTGCTTGATACTGACGGATGATAGGAGGAAGTGGATACACATGCACGATCTGTGGCAAGCATAGCCTCATCACCTATATCGGATGCTTCACTTGTGCAAGCAGCGCAGCCATTGTATTACTGTGAGTCAGAACTTAACATTTTATAGAGGATACTAAAGGATATAATAGCAGCAAAACATATATCCACTGTCGCTGAAAAGTTCAAGATGTGGACACTTCTTGGTGAAATTGAGAACCGACTCGGATTCCATACAGGTCATCGCATTAAGCAGCTGCACCAACAATTCAAGCTAGTCTGAGCTAAGCACATAAAGTCATTCTCCATATGTCCAGAAAGAATCTTGCTTGCTTGAAATCATACCAAGTAAAGTTCCGAAGGTCCCCTTAATGGAATAAGTTATCCATCCCTCCTCCAAATTCTCACTGGCATTCGCCCCGGCCACAAATTAAACGCCTCCTCCCACTCCAGCATCCAATCCTTGGACGGCAACTCGAACTCATAGCGATGAACCAACGTAGCAACCAGAATCTGCTGTTCAATGAACGTAATATTCCGTCCAATACATGCCCGCGCGCCACTACTAAAAGGGATGAACACAGCCCGCATCTGCTTAACCTTCTCATCATCCTCCAGCCACCTTTCAGGCCGAAAGGCTTCAGGGTCTGGAAAGATCCCCGGATCACGATGAACTGCGTAGGTAGGAACACCAACGGTGACATTCCCGGGGATCCTCTCTCCGAGGATATACATGCCTTCGGGAGGTGTCTTCCTCTCCAACCCTCTCGACACGGGCGGTGACAGGCGCAGCGATTCTTCCAGGCATGCTTTCAGGTACGGAAGGTTCCTGACATTAGCATATGGTGCCACTTCCTTACCATGCAAAGCACCGGATACCTCCTCCCTGAGCTTCTCCAGCGATAGTGGATTCTTGATAAGATAGTACATAACATTTGTCAAGGCGATAGCCGTCGTATCGGAACCTGCATCCACTGCACATATTCAGCATCATCGATATCAAGAAAAACAACACACCCCCCCCCCCCCCCCCCCCGGGGGGGGAAAGAAATACTCACACAAAAGCCCCGCCTCAGCCTCAATCTCCCCCCTCTCCAACTCCCTCCCAACCCCCTTCCTATCCTCAACCAAACACCCCAGAAAATCACTCAACTTCTCCCCACTCTTCTGAACCCCCAATCTCTGATCCACCAAACTCATCACAACCCTCCCAAACCTCCTCCCACACTCCCACTGCTCTCTTAGATACAGCGAAACAACACAAGACACTCCCCTCAAGAGTCCAACCCACCCACTTGCCCCAATAACCCACGAAGAGACCCAATTCCCCCGATGCAAACACTCAATATATCTAACAACCTACCCATCCACAACAACCTCATCGGATCCCTTATCCAGTAGTCCCAACTTCACACTTAGCCCAATATCAGCAATCGCATCAACAGTGAACAGATTCAACCAATATCTCAAATCAACCTCGTCCCCGTCCCCGTCCCCCGTTATCACTGCATTCGATGATGATGATGGTATACACATCCCGTCCAGCTTCCCCAACAATCTCTCCACCTTATCAGCTATCTTGAACTCCCACTGTTCAAGATTCTTTGTGGAGAAGGCATTCGCGAGCATTCTCCGCTTGCGGGAGTGATCGTCGCGGGAAATGGTATTCAGCATGTTAGAGTGGGCGTGGATTCCTTTTGTGAGTGCGTAGACGTCGTCTTTTACGCAGGGTGTGCCGTGGCCGTAGATGGCTGGGATGGCTTTTGGGTCGGCGATGGAGAGGGAGGTCGGTGAGAGGCGGATTAGACGGTGGTTGTGGTGGAGGTGCATGTTGTAGAGGCGTTGGGTGCGGAAGGGGTGGCGGTGTTCGTAGATGTAGGAGAGGGTGGTGTGGTTGGAGAGTGGATTGAGAGGAGGGTAGTATTTAATTAGGGTTTTGGTGGTGAGGTAGGTGAGTAGGGGTTTGATGAAGAGGATGAGGGTGAGGGTGAGGGTGAGGGTGAGGGTGAGGGTGAATAGGAGAGCCATGGTTGGTATAGATAGTTCTAAGATGGTTTCTTGTTACTAATTGAAGAGCATGCACAATGACTGTAGCCTTGAGAGTATTTATGTTATTTTGCTAGCTTCTGGGTCAGGTCTATTGTCTTATAGGTAATGGGCTGTCTTGTTTATCTATGAAATCGGCGGACTGCGCTCTGCTAAGAGCATATTACCCAAAAGGGCATGTTAAGAGCGGAGAAGCAATGTGCAGCGGGTATTGTGTACATTGAGCGGAAGACATTCCGTTTTCGGAAGTGTAAGAGCGCGTGTACTTCCATTTCAAACAATGAGTACGACCTCATGTCGTGTTGCGGTATAACATCATCTGGGATCAATGGGTATGCATATTATGTTTTTTTTTTTTTTTTCTTGTATATACTCTCTAACTAAGCAATTATACTACCCAATATCATCAATTAAAGACATATCATATAAACCCACAACACCAAAGTGCTATGCAACCCAGCCTATCCCTCCAACATCACATGAAGAGACTCTATTATGAAAGTAGTACACAACTTAATGGTTTTCTAAATCTTCAATACCTGACATAACAGGATATTATACAGATCTGTATCTATAATCTATAATAATCTAAAAGATTTCAGATAGAGTATTTGAAATTTACTTTTATAGTTTAATAAGAGCTTGTCAGCAGCAGTGGTTAGGAGACAAAAACAAGATGATAGGTTATTTTGCTCATGCTCTTATACAGGTAAACAAACCTATTATCATTCCAAGGTCCATGGCTTTGGTTAGGTAGCAGATTCTGAAGAAGGCAAGATTTACCACACGTGGGAATGTTGGTATAGGTATGTGAATGCTTGTTATTTGACTATTACTTAGCCAATCTGAGAACAGTAGTGTTTACAATCCCTCTTGATTGACCCAATCAATTTAGCAGGGCTTTTGTTTCTGGCCTTTTGGGTATTAATTTTTGGCCTGTTATATCAAATCTGCTCAAGGAGGCCAAGGAGCATACTTAACTTCATGTAGACGAATTCCTTGTACTTGTGTCTGGCCATCGAGGAGTAATCTGGAGCTCAGTACCAGCGATTTTGACATCTTTCATTTCGATGCTCATCCGTTTGCGATCTCGCTCCTGGACTTTCCTTTTGCTTCCAATGTAGTATAGACAGCCAATGTTCTTTATCATTTGCCTTGTCTTCTGTTGGTGCCAGACGTCTTGCACCCAGGCCTGGATACTTGCAATCCTCGGGTGATTTCGGTATTTGGTTCGGTTTATGAACCTAGAATCAAGTTGTGTCATGTTAGTTACAAGCCTCGTCTATAGGGCTCTGGAAATTGAACGCACTCTTGAAGATGGACCCATATATTGTCATCCGCCCTTGCTGGCCATTTCACGGGGTCTCCGATAAACAACGTGCCCCCTGCTGGCCAATGCTCCTGCAGACATCCCAGCAAAAGCCATGTCTCATCTGCTGGCTGGGGTGGCTGTTGGTATGGCTGAAGTTTGTCACCGTGCCAATTTGCTCGAATTAGTTCTCTTCCCTTCCCAACAAAAAAGCTATTTGGGAGAGATTGAGAATCGTGTGGTCTGGAGCTCTTAATCGAGGCCCCGTTCATTTGATTGATGGTCATATTCCAGTCTAATCCGGTCTCTAGCTGCCATAGATAGATTAGGTCACGGCTTTGTGAAGCAGTTGCTTGGCAGTTTGAAAGGCGCTGGACTGGGAAGGTGACTAGATTACGAGGTCCTAGCGAACCGCTGTAGCTCAAGCACGAAGATCCCGCTTCATCCCGCACATCGATTCCATCTTTCGTACTAGCTTCGTAATCAGATTAGAGCTTTTTGCAAAGGAACGAGTACCTACAAGAATATGAATTTCCTCCAGGTACCGTTATGTTTCTGGCTGGACTGAGGAGCGCACATGACAAATTTGTGATTTTCCCCAAGGGCATCTACCCAGTAGATTCCGAAGGTGCAATTCTTCCAGATAAAGATTTCTGTGGCGTTGAGCTGTGACAAATACACTGGCTTGAAACGGGGCCCTCTGTCCTCCGATGCTAGTTCAGTCATCCTGGCGATATGAACCCACTGCCAGACGACAAGATTCCTCGAAAGTTCAGAAGTGACTTCTTCTATGATTTCCGCGGCCGATATCAATTCATCTCGATACAGCACTATTGCCTCAATTAGCTCCTGGATTCCATCAGATAGTATCGAATATGAGCGCTTGAAACATATTGGTTTGTGGTCACTAGGCCAGTTTCCCTTATCGTCTGAGGTGAATGATGGGCTCATTGCTCTTACGATGGCATCAACAAAAAAAGACCTCCCGGTTTCGACAGAATTGGCCCACAAGAACCAGTCATGTGAATTATCACGTCCAATATGAACATGCAGCTCGGGAATATTCATTGTCCAGAGGCGATATGCCTGCTGTCTGCGGCGGTCTGACATGGCATCACCGGCTGCGAATCCGCTGTATACAAAACGATCCTGTTAAGATGTCAATAGAGGCTTTTACTCTGCGGGGACACCTTCCGGACCACGGTCTGAAATGGAGGGTGAAATTCAACATGTACGTGAAAGAACATGGCTTCTCCCAAAGTGTCACATACCACGTCTTTTCGAGTCGCGACTGCTATCCTAGATCTGTTGCGAGCATCCAACACCATTTTCGCCCTTTTGGGTCGCTCATTATGGAGCTTTTTCTTCAGATGATCGAACGTCTCGTAAAAGCGCTGTTCAGAAAGGATCCTCTCAACCTGGTGTTTAATATGCTCACACCAAGCTTCTCTGCTATTATCCTGAAATGTCTCTGCAGAGTCAAGGGTCGTAGAAATCGTGACAAGTAGGACCCATAGCGTCATATCCAGTACTCGAGTGAATATCTCTGGCTTGATAGAAAACCGGCCTTGGCCAGGGTGGAAGCATGGAAGCTGAATGCTATGCACCCCGTCGTAGTGTACCAACCTTAGTCGGCCGACTTCTGACCAAAATCGGCAAGAAGACGGGTAGCCGAAGGGATGAAGGAAACCAGAAGCCACGGTGGATGAGGCTCTTGCAGACATGGTGAGAATGATAAGTGGCCGAACTATCATAACATATCTTTGTAAAAAGCTAGCAGCTGCTAGAAGATCCGGTCCTTCAGCTTTGTGCCAGGGACACAGATCCACGAACGGAAGGGCACCAGCGGTGATGAGATTGTCTATATTAAATGTTGGCACCCTCCCCTTCAGCTCCCAGGACCAAAGCCTATTTATGTAGGACTTGATTATTGAGGCGGAGTTGCTACTACCTGTATAAAAGCCCTGGCTGTTCTGATAGCATTTACGGCTGATACCGCCTCCTACAGTTAGAAGAAGAACAAATTTTCCCTTCAATAATGAAGGCATGGATTGAGTGATCATCATCTCTTTGAGGGTATCTGGGAAGTCATAATACTTGTTCCTAAAAAGAGAGACCGTTACTCTGTGGCATCGGGCATAGTCCTGAATTTTGTCAGCCCAGGCTGCAATTTGTGTTCTCCCTGTGAAAGCTTCGAAGTGCAGCGGGGATAAACGTGAGATTGTCTCGGTCTCCAATGCCCCAAACAAGCTGCGATATTTATCATCTCCCTTCAGTGGGAAGTCATCAACAGCAGTAATTGTTTGATTGAGAAGAGATGGAAAACCAAGTAAGGAGATGCACGCTTGTTCCATCAGTTCTGTATGCTGACAAGCTTCCGGAACCTCAAAGCTCAGCCAATCCGGGAAAACATAGAGCGCTGCGGAGTCAATTATCGTGGGGTAAGTACAGTCCAGAAATGTAAGGAATTTGGATAAAAATCCGGATTTTCGTGTTACGAGGTCCTCATGGTGGCGTTGGCGGGGCCCCCGAGTCGTGCTTCCAACATATCGGAGGTACACGAAGTCGTTAGGATTCATAACATCCATAGCTTCGAGCCAAATATCGTTCTTCGCATAGACAAGCCCCGCATCCTGAAACTTCTCGACAATGCATTGAAGTTCGCTCACTGTCATCTGGAAGGATCGCACATACAATGTCATTCGTTGATACTTATCCGCGGGCATGACTGTTTCGCTAGGTGTTTGCAGGTGTAGAGCTTGCAAAAGCTCCCCATCAGTTACCCTCATCGGTGTATATAAGATTCGCTCCCACAGACCACCATCAAGGACAGTTGGAAGGCAATGCTGCAGCAGCTGCGATACGACATTTCCCGTATCAACACCTTCTTGGGCAAGGCGTTCCAAGATAATGTTATATACAGCTTTTCGCACATGTTCCACGTTTTCAGTAGGGCACAAACGCAACGAAGCTTCGGAACTCCTTCTTCTGTGCAATCCATACGAGCTAGTACGGTTATATGGGAGACTGAATGATCGTCGGCGAGGCCTTCGCATTGTTTTGTGGGACATATTAGGATGATATTGTCTGCCAGATATACACGATTACATTAGCAACGTAGATGGACGATAACTTCAGGAGAGGTAGCTGGCATAAATGGAATACAAATAATCCAGCTAAGGGGCATTGTTGATAATGTTAAGAAACTTTACCTCGAATTGGTGACTATCCATGAATGATCATAGCTAACACTTATGTCCAGCTAGAGAATTATCAGAATGGGACAAAGGTGTATTGAAATGGCTTGGAAGGCTGTCTTTTGCTGCTAGCCCTCTAGTAAGGAGAGCAAACGTTCATGTAAACACCGGGGAATATTAGGGGCCTGCCTTGCCTTACACTCGGGTTTAGCATTCACTACAGTTGCCTATCTTCACTACTTACCGGAATAATGCTTTGAGATTGAATAAATTGACATAGAATACACAACGAACAAGTGAACAGAAAATAAGGAAAGAAAAAGAAAAGATGAGGTGCGCTCAATTTCACTACCGTCCTTTAACAGGATGACGCAGATTGGGGAAAAGAATGTACTCCTTGGGATTTCAAAGAGCGCGTGTACTTCCAATATGAATATTAAGTGACCTCATGCCGCCTTGCTATATATCGTAACCTTAGGTTTTCAGGCAATATGCTTTTTATGTTCTTGTGGTTTGCAGCTCCCTTGTATACAATGCACTTATATATATTCTTTTAGCTAACCAGTCATATAACCCTCTAATCATGAATCTTAACATCATCCTATAAACCCACAACACCAAATCGCTATGCAATCCATTCTATCTTCCCTCCTCCCCCTCCCCTTCCTCCTCCTCCTTCCCATCCTCCCCCCTCGCAGCCTCAATCTTCACCCACCCCACCAACACCGCCAACGCAACGCCCGCACATGCGACCCCCAACCAGAACGCCGCCTTATACCCCTCCCTCTGACCATCCACCATCTCAGCAACAAAATCCCCCCAACCAACAAAGAAACTCACACCGAGGAACAACACACTATTCGCCACGGCAGCCGCCAATCCCTGCTGCTTCTCAGGCAACGTAGTAGTAAGAAACACATTGGTGATATTATACGTGATATCCACCCCCACAGTCCCACAAATCATCGCAGGGAAGATATACGCCCAGTAACTCACCCCTTCCTTGGGAAGGATGGCGAATAGAAGCGGGGCCATGACCCAGCCTATGCCGGAGAGTATTAGGAGGATAGTACCCGGGACGATGTGGAGGATCGTCCCGCCGACGAAGCTGAGGACGATACCGCCTAGCGCGAAGGGGAGGTACCAGACTACCACCATTAAGGGGGAGATGTGCAGGATGTTTTGCATGTAGGTGACTGTGTAGAGGAGCCAGATGCCGAAGGTGCCGTAGAAGAGGAAGAGGGCGATGAGAAGGGCGGGGAGGTGAGGGACGCGGAAGAGGGTGAGGGGGAGGATTGGGGTTGCGGTCTGTGTTGTGGTTGTGGTTTTGCTGTCGTCTGTGGAGGATATGGTAGTGAGGCGGTGTTCGGTGTAGATTGCCCCGGCGAGGAGGATGCAGCCGATCACCAGGGTCACGGGGATGTATGGAGTGCGCCAGCCGTTAGGGGCGTGGCCGCAGTCGTTGACGGCAAAGAAGATCAGGATGAGGCTGGAGATGAAGAGGGTGGCGCCGAGGTAGTCGATTTTGAGGGTTGGGTTGGGTCGTTGGGTGCGGATCGGAGCGGGGATGAAGATGAGGGCGGACACGAGGGTGATCAGGATCAGGATGGCGCCAATCCAGAAGTACCAGCGCCAGTTGAGGAGTTGGTCTGCGATCCCGGAGACGAGGATGCCTGCCGAAAAGCCTATCGGGGCGCAGCCGCCGTAGATGCTGAAGACGATGTTCTTGCGGGGACCTGGAGGGTAGATCGAACCCAACAGCATGATGCCCGCGGAGAGAATGGCAGCCGGGCCGAAGCCTTGTAGGGCACGGCAGAAGTTGAGCATGATTTCGTTCTGGGAGAACCCGGCGATTAGGGTCCAGACGAGGTGCCATGTTAGGCCCGAGGTGAAGACCACGAAGCCGCCGTATTTGTCGGCTAGTTGGCCGAAGAGGAGGAGGGAGCTGCCGGCTGTGAGGGCGAAGGCGCTGGAAGGCCAGCCGGTGGATGCGGCGGGTATGTTCAGGCTTTGTGAGACGGATGGGATGAGGACGTTGAAGCCGGAGATGAAGAATTCCTGTCATGGTGTGAGATGGCTGGAGTTTGGGGGATGGTTGGTATGGACGTACCGACATGATCTGGGATAGCATCAGAGCCACGCAGAATCCAATCTCAACGACCAGGTTAGGGAAGATGCGCGGGCGCTGTCGACCCTGACGATCGACATCTTGGGGACGCTGGTCCTCAGCGCACTGTTCTTTCATGGTCCGTTGTTGATTCACACTGAGCAGCCATGTCTACCTCTGCTTGAATGAGCTTGGGCATGGGTATAAATATGTGCATCGCAAAAAGCAGACTTCCTAAACAAGGCACTAAATTGAGTTATCAGTTTGATTCATAAGCCGCTGAGTTGGTCTCCAACTGGAGATTAAGCACCAATCCAAACGAAATCCATTTTATAATGAAAAAGGCGACATGGAGGTTCCTGGGGAGTTGGTCAAGTATCAAATTGAACCAGCCAATGGAATACTAGCTAGTGTTTGAATTACCCACTATATTCTGATATTTGACGAATCGGGTCTATCAAAGCTCTTGGCCACCACGCTAGTAGCAAGTCCTCCAGACAACTTCCTAATTCGGATAGCAGCCCTAACCGGCATCTATTTGGGTCGTCATAGAGTTTATTATGTGCAGCAGAACATTCCGGCTGAGGAACGTACGAGAAGATGTCTAGACAGCTGAGATTAGACAAGACTGTGATTGTGAAGATGACGACCATAGCAACTTCTTACCAATAATTATTTGCAAGACATGTCACTTTCTACACACGCTCTGGTATTCCGATCTTCACCATAATCATTCACATACAGTACCAAAAAAGCAAAAAGAGGTAGAGACAGTATGAGCTCCATACTCACAAGGACCCAACGGTAAAAAGACAAAAAAGAATGGATGAGCCCAGCCCGGCTCGATCGGACAACCTTACGATCTGGAGTCGCTGTTGAAGTGGTTAGACGATGTTGGTAATCCAGGATTGGATAGGGATAACTTACTACGCGCTACCAATTGCGCCATAGGCCCATTCAGGTGACGAACAGGTCGCTTTTACGCTACGTCTTCCGGGCTGTGCTGCACACCAGGACTTTTAGTTGCTGAACATGTAATTCGATGGTAGCACATGTATTTTATTTGACCTGGTCGAAGTAGAGTTAGATAATCATGTGGCAGAAATTATCTCTGAGGAGCAGTCCGTGCCGGTCGTGGAACTAGATTGCTTTCAGCGATGTTACGCTATATCTTGCGGGTGGCTACACAATGTAAGGTATTGTACCTGACGGGTGATTGACAGCTAGGACCTAGATCTGGAATGATGGCTAGAGTAGATTTACAATTTCGAACCGTGAACCATGTAACATAAAATCATCTAATGAATGATTGAAGGCCATACATGATAACTACATTAGTGAGAACATCGAGACCGTTCTTCAAACCAATTTCGCTATGTTCCACTCCCCAAGCTGTCAGGATCCCGCCTGGTGCGCTTCAGGCGTGAATCCTCTGGCTATCTATCCGCTAGACTATCCAGTAAAAGACTAGAACTCTGAGTCAACAGACTGAGAACGCGCATCTCTTATAAGCTTTAATTCACTAAATGGCAGGCATGTGACTGGTTGTCACACAAGCCATCAAAAATAAAAAGACAAAAAAGAAGGTATGAGCCCAGCCCGGCTCGATCGGACAACCTTACGATCTGGAGTCGCTGTTGAAGTGGTTAGAGGCTGATGTAATCCCGATTTAGATTAACAAGGTGAACTTACTACGCGCTACCAATTGCGCCATAGGCCCATTGTACAGCAACGTGAACACTAAGACCATTTATCAAAGATACCACTTCCCCAAGCCATCAAAGGATAAAAAGCAAAAAGATGGTATGAGCCCAGCCCGGCTCGATCGGACAACCTTACGATCTGGAGTCGCTGATGGAAATGTTAGATGCTGCTATGATCCTGATATGGATTGTCAAGGTGAACTTACTACGCGCTACCAATTGCGCCATAGGCCCATAGGTGAAGGAATTTTGATATTTTTGAATTTATCTTGGGAGGTGACATTTTTTTGTAACGTATTGTAATTCTCACGATGCATGTTAGCCTATGTCACAGTTGACTCTCAGGAAGAGATAATAATTTACTATGAGAGTTAATGGTATTGTGCGACTATACGTGAACCCTAATATGAATGACTAAATTGTAGATCATGTTAACATCAGGATACTTATATACTGGAATTGGGCTTAATTAGAGGTAAGTACGTACTATGAGTTCTTTCGATACGATCTGTATATTCGATCAAATGAATGATACATTACTAAACAGTAGTGAAGTGTTCTTGTAACGCTATCCATTGTAATATATTGCTCAAATTAAAATATAAATGGTCTGTCCTGCAAATGAAACAGATCAAGTTTTCATACTTCATCTATGTTGTATCGTCCCTCATCCGGGGAGATGAGGATAACAAACCCCACACGGAGTCCATTCAGTGCTGGTATGTCTTCAAGATCTAGAGATCGCCTGTCTATTATGTAGTAAAACACCATTTAGTTACTATTTATGAAAGGCTCCATAGCAGACATCGATATAAACACCATCAGGGCTTCCATATTGAGTTAAGTATCCAACCCAGCCCACGGACCCATACCATGTAGTAAATCGAGTACAATCCATACGCAACTCCGCAAACCTATCCCACTCAATACCCGTCACACGAACCCTTCATCCAAGATATCAATAACACTTCTCACTCGGTTGATAAAAATAAAATAAAAAATAATAAAAATAAAAAAAAGTAATAATGAGATTCTCACAGCTACCCCACGACCATCATCAACTCCCCAGCCAGCTAGTAGTGTGGGGTTAGTTACGGAGGTAAGAGAGGGGCGGAAAAAAGCAAAAAAAGATAATGAGCCCAGCCCGGCTCGATCGGACAACCTTACGATCTGGAGTCGCTGTTGAAGTGGTTAGTGGGATGTTGGAACCATTGTTTGATTCAGTGAAACTTACTACGCGCTACCAATTGCGCCATAGGCCCATTGTTGGTGCCTTATTCCTTACTTTCTTGCAACATGAGTGGGGGGGCTTTGACGGTAGATATCCCATACTTGTGCTGGGTATAATTACTGTATCATTAGTCTCGACTACCATATTATAGGGACTTTGTTTTTGTGTCTTATGGGTTATGGAATGTCCATTATCATTCAAGATAGGGTATTAGGTTGTTACTGCATGACACCGTATTCGTGTTGCTCTGTGTTGGGCTATCCTTCTGCAGCTTCCATATATATTACAACCTACTGTTCAACGCGTACATTACATGAACCCAGTAAAGTAGTAGCTGCTATATACACTCCATTAATATATGCCCGGGTAATTCTAATCCCCGTCATGATACATGTCTATCGTGATTCATTAGTCATACACATGGCCTCGGCCTGTCTACTCCCAAGCGCCAACACACTCTACTGCAGCAAGCCATCAATTTCCGTTGCCCAGGATCAGGGCCCGCGCCTGTTGAGGGTCCGTTCCGAGAACAGTGATTAGGTATTCGATGCTGCTACCGTTAGCCAGTGCCCTTTCACGGATCTATGGTATGTCTCACCTCGCTTCTGATGCAAGTCGGCGCTTCTCGTGCTGGAACTCCTGCTGACATGACTCCCAGGTTCCGGCTCGCTCAGTCGGAAGCACCGTCTTGACGCGCAGCTTGAACGTAGCGCTCACTGGTCGATGGTCGGATGCGCGGACTTCATGTCGACGGTACTCGAGTTGACGGACGCGGCCTAGTCCACGGTAGAGAACTCGGTCACACCATGCGGGTGCGCGCTTCTTATCGCTGGAGTCATACTCGTCGGTGCCGACGTCGTATTTGTATGTCGGTGCGAATGTGATGGGTGCCTCGTTGAAGGAGCGCAGACGGAAGCCTGGGTTCTTGCGTCGCGAGGCCAGCAACTGGTCGCGTCCCAGTAGCTTGGTCAGGTTGTTGCTGCGGATGTCGTCGATGATCACGTTCCGTGGAATAGAGTCGATACGGTAGTTGAGATCACCGTTCAGAATACAGATCTCATGGTCCATGATCATCGAGCCATCACCACCGCTCACGTAGTGGTTCGCGCGAGTTGCGAGACTATTTTCCGCGGGAAGCGACTCCGCCTCGAGAATCGCCGCGATATCATTGTTGCGGTGTGCCGTCTGCGTCTGACCAGCTGCCAAGTGGCAGTTGATAAAGCAGAGGGAGCTGTCATCGAGGACAAAGCGCAGTATAAGTGCACCCTACAGCAATCAGCAATCAGCAACTGGCAGCAATTAAAAATCACGTGTGAGCCTACCTTGTTTCCATGCAACCCTCCCATACCGCGCTTAATCTCTGAGGCACCGATATTCTTGATCCGCTGGCGCTCCTTGTGCTTCACGAACACACACGTAAAGAGACCGATCAGATTCGCGCTATGCAGCAGCACATACGACTCCTCAAGCGGCATGCAGTCATTGATGCAGCGGGTCAAGTGCTCCATCCACACCCTGTATTGACGACTCATGTGTTCCTTATCACCGTGCTCCTTCTTCTTACTCCCGAGGAGTAGACTCTCTGGACGGAGTTAGTTACACCCAACAATGTCAGCGGTATACGTACTGGCTGTGATCTTCTTATTCTCAAGGTCCACCAGCTCCTGGAAACCAAACACCAAGATCTCCGGCGGGTTCTCAGGATGGATCGCATCTTGGATAAAAGTGGATGTGCGCACGCTTCCAGGGGTAGAAGCACCAGCGTTCCAGGTCATAATTACCGCATGAATCTCACGGAACTTGCAAAACTCCACGTCTCTGGCCTGCATCCTGGTTTCTGAAAGGTGTTAGCTCATACCAGTCGGACAATCGCAGCCACTTACCCAACCAATCATCCTCCAACATGCCGTCCCAAAGACGGATGCAGTTGTCGTCTCCCAGCGAAGTCACTTGCAGTCGGTTCATTGTCCATACGCTGCTGGAATCAAGCAAGAACCCGCTGACAGGGCTATCATGAGCACGCCAATCCTTCTTCACCGTCCACGGATTTGTAGATGTATCGTAGACATAGATCATGCCGGTCTTGTATGCTGCCCACAGATAATCTCCCACGATACCGAGACAGTTGATCTTGTAGACACTGACATTGACGACAGACAGACAGGTGTAGTCGTGGGCTGAGTATACGGTCACCTTTCCATCTGCATGACCTAAATACACACGTCCACCATCCTTGGTAGTATAAGCACCTGAAGTTACATCTCCCGTATGCTGCGAGCCCAATGGCCTGCTGAGAACCTTGAACGAAACATCATCACGAGCATTTGGCTGATAGACGTGCACCTCCTTTCCAGAAGCCAGCCACAAAAGGTCCCCAACCACCATCGAAAATGTATGCCCGCGGGCAACCCGATCGTAGGGGTTGTGGTAACTGTACTGGAGGTTGGGCGTTCCAGTCTCATCTGGCGGCCATACCAGTAGCCGACCCTCATCGTCGAGGGTCCACATTTCCTTCTTATGCCGCAAGATCTTGACAATCTCCCGTCGAGAGGGATAAGACCGCGATGCGACAATGGACCGGGTTGCAATGTCAACCTCGTGCAGATCCCCGGAGTTCGTGCCCAACCATAAGCGCTGGCCTTCATCCTCCAGACCCAAACCTGGCTTAAAGGCAACCGACAAACACTTGACTGTCTCGCCGTGGCTAAGGCTCATAATCTGCTCTCCAGTCGTAAGGTCCCAGACCCGCGTGATGTAGCCGGTCGTGCACACATGCTTCCCACACACATCCATGAGGCGCGTATCGTACCGCGTGTGAATCTCCTGAGGCCCAGACTTCAGCAGCGGTGGCCGTCTGTTCGCACTGGACGCATCTGGATAATCCGTGCGAGCAACTGGCGTCTCGTCCGGAACCTGCTCATCCTCACTGGGAATAGGGCGAACTGCTTGACGTTCCACCACAGGCCGATCTGGTATAGGACGCTCTGACATAGGCCTCTCTGGCATCGGGCGCTCCGGGACGGCCGGGGGCGGCACTGGCCTAGTCTCCCTGGAAATGGACGGCTGCCGGGATACGTGCGTCGGGGTTGGCAACTCATCTCGATAAAGGGGCCTCGTCTCTCTGGAAATGGATGGCTGTCGAGAGACATGCGTCGGAGTGGGTAGTTCGTCTCGATAAAGGGGCCGAGATTCGCGGTAGGGTGTCGGGGGAGGTAATGAGAACGCCGGGCTTTCCACCTGGTATGAATGCCGCGACGGTGACGGACCGCCCCTTCGTGCCAGGGATGGCTGTCGGGGAGGCAGTCCGGGGCGCTCCTGAGGATCATGCATCGGAGGCCTGTAGTTGGAGAGCGGTGCGGTTGCCAGCGGCTCCGGCGCTGCATAATGCCTGGGGGGAATCTGGACCATAAGCGGCTTCGTCTCCCGGGGAGGCTCCGGAATTGGCCGCCTCAGTGACGGCTCTCGATGTAGACCTGGCTGAGGAGCGGGGGACCTCTCCTCAAGTGACCGGTGCGTCGGAAGACCAGGTACTGGACGGGCTGGCGAACGCCGGGAGGGCGAGCGCGGAATTGGTACCGCTCTGGTATTGGGTTGCTGCTTTGGTGACGCTTTCTCGGGGCTGCTCGGAGGAGTGCTGAACGGCGATACGCGATCTTCCGAAGACGCACGCTCAAGCTGTGGAGCAAGAGAGTTGGCTTCGTGGTGTGACAATGCCGCCGGTTTGGCGGGGATCTTGGGCTTCTCCGCCCGGTTAGCAGGCGGGGGAAGGGAAACGCTCTTGCCTTTGCGTTCCGATGGGCTCTCACGTCCATTTGCCAAGGAGCCTGATGTGCCCGGCGACAAACGATCCGCTTTACTTTCCGTAGGAAAAGACGCAGAGACGGGGGTGGTTGGTCGATGAGCAGGAGGAATCCCTTGCGGTATGGTAGGCAGCGATTCCCGGGAAGCATTCGGCGGGGTGCGAGACGAGCTGATTTCCTCCTCATGGTCTGCTCCAAACCCGCGCGGCGGAGACCGTGGTGAATCGACCGTCAGAGTCGGTGCCAACTGCGGCGACGAGTGGAGGTTCATCGACATGGGTCTGTTCTGCCGTCTGCCCGGGGAAATCCCGGGGGATTCAGAGTGCGGGGCTAGACCATTGCCATGTACGATGCTGTGACTTCTCTCCACATCGGGCACCGAGCCCCAAGGAGACCGTGGACGTGGTAGGTCAAGCGAGGCTCTGTTGGAGCGGATATCGTCACCGTAGTCGGGGGTTCTCAAAAAGGACGGTGGATCGCGTGAACCGTTTGTAGCAGCGGATGGAGCCCGACGATGCGAAAGATTCTCGAAATGGGAAAGCAGGGAAGACACCGGTCTCTATAGAAGCGAGTAGATTAGTATAAAGCTCCAGAACAGCGGGAGGTATAGCCGGCGCAAACGTACAATCGGAGCATTATCCGTGGCGTCCTTTTGCTTGCCGTTTCCCTCCATGGCCACAACAGCGAATCCAACGAACAGGCCGAGTAAAGGAATGGATCATAGGCTCCGCCAATTGCGTTGAATGCAGACTACCGCCGGGGAGAGGCTAAGAAATGGCACAGGAAATTTAATAGACTGGATAAGATAACGGGTGGCAGGGAGTTGAGCCGGGAGTGACGATTGTGGCGGAGCTCCAGTTTAGGCGGAAGGAATTCAGGAGCAGCAGAGACAACAAGACACCGTGCAGGAACAGGAAGGGTCTAGAGCTGGTGATCCTACTCTGCGGAGGACGTGGAGGATGGCCCGGACAGTATCAGATGAGAATCGGAGCGATGGGAGGAATTGAGGAGTGAATGTGTGGAGAGAGAGGGGGGGAAGGACGGAGGAAGGGAGGGATCCAAAGAGTGGGGAGGAAGAGTAGGAGGAAGAGTAGAAAGGGAAGACAAGAAGAGGATGGGCGGGAAAAGAGAGGAATCACCGGAAGATGAAGTCACCCAAACCGACAAGAGGAAGTTGAGGAGTAAGTAAGTAGTAGGGAAGGAAAGAAAGGAAAGGAAAGGGGAGAGAGAGAGAGAGAAGAAACCCAGCGAGGCGAGGCGATGATCGACCCGCGCGTGATATGCATTGATGGAGGGAGAGGAATGAATGAATGGATGGATGGATCCATCCATCAATCGTTCTTTATTTTTAGCCTCCCCCCGACCTGAACCACTGCATACTTTACTCCAACTTCCCACCACATTCAAGACATCTTTGTGTCTCTTGAGACTTGTCTATATTTACTTTCTCTCTCATTCTATACCCAAAACACCCCCGTGTATAAACTTTAGAAAATGTGGTATGAACCATATACCCCTCACCTCCCATCCTCTCTCTACTCACCAGCTTGAACCCGAACTCACCAAAATTCCTTGAATCCCAGTAAACACATCCTGAACGCTCAAGTGGCCATTCGCTCTCCCTGCTGTAAGCCCTCATCTCCCCCTTTAACCCCCTTTCTCCTCAAAAACCAAATCTAATTATTCCTGGTGTATCCGTGACAGGCAAAAAATGGTTCGACTGCGCCGAATGCCACCAAGAACAAGAATCGCACTCGCTCACCAAAACCACTGAAATGGTATACTTTTACTACCTCACCTACGTACCACAAATCTCCAGTCACCAACCAAATGATTTCCAAAATATCTAGGTCTTCGCCTGCAAGAAATGCAAGAAATGTTTCCGGAAAGACGCGACGGAGTTTGATGAGAGGTGCGTCCGGTCGTCGTCACCCGCCCCCACACCTGCTGCCCTTAGTTACTGGGATGATAAACCGGAGGGGCTGGCCCATATCTATAAAAAGAGAGAGAGGAAGATAAAAAGGGGGAGGGGTAGAAGGAGGTTACGAATGGTTGAATTGACCTGACACCTATTTTATCTGGATTCTAGTGACGAGTACTGCCCGCACTGCGATAACCATTTCGTGATTGACGCTGTGACGCCGACTCCCACGTTGCAGGTTGAGGGTGAGGATGCGAGAATTGATGCGAGGTGAGTGCCCCCTGATGCTGTTCTTATGACTAGGCGTTAACCAATGGTATCACTTCGTGTAGAATGCTCAAAGACGACCGTGTTCGCGGACACCAGGAACGCTCCATCTTCAATTTCAAGGATATTTCCGATCGCTTGGGTTAGACGCCTGACCCTGAAACCATGGGTGGATGAACGAGATTTACGAAATTATGCATACACACTACTACACTTTACCTACATAATCCCTGTATATCACCTGGAACCTAGAGCTTCATATATATCCGGAGCACATCTGCATTACAGTATAACGGAGTTTATTTTCGTGAAAAAGGACGTAACGCTTCTTGCAAGATCCCTAGACAATTAACCGGATAGAAAGCACACCCCGCAACGAGAGTCTCATAGTTGCTGATTCGACGTAGCCTCTACTTGAACGGCATGGCATCCACCTTACTCCCGGCTCTCGCTGCCCTCGCCGCCACCAGGCCGTGTTAGGATAGCAGCCGTCGTGGTGCCACCGCGACCCGTCTTCTTCTTAGCCGCCTCCTCCTGCTTCTCCGTCTCTATGCTCTTAACGTACGACTCGATCTGGTCATCCGGGAGCATCTCAATCGCCTGCCCAGGCGACATGATAGCCACCTCGATGTTCTTCGCACCAGTCTGCACAACCTCCAACAGCGACTTGATAGTGAGCTGGATAGTCTGTTCGCGATCCATGTCATCCTGGTGGTTGCGTTCGAGGAACTCGCGCACAGTCTTGCTGGAGCGTCCGATAGCATTTGCTTTCCTAATATCCCAAAACCATTGTCAGCTTCAACCCATCCCTACATCATGAACACAAAAGCATAGGAGGAACACCCACCAAGCGGAGTAAATCCCCGAAGGCTCAGTCTGATATAACCGGGGCGTCTTATCATTGGGGTCGAATCCGACGACCAGGGTACTGATACCAAAGGGTCTAACACCACCACTCTGCGTGTACCGCTGCTGCACACTAGCAATGTACTTCGTAATGTATTCGATAGTGACGGGGTCTTCGACGGTCAGACGGTGGGACTGAGCTTCTAGACGGGCTTTGTCGATAAGAATGCGGGCGTCGGCGTTCAGACCGGCGAAAGCCAGGACGGCGTGGTTATCCACCATGGCGATCTTGGACGGTGTGATGCGGGTATCTTGGAGCTTCAGTGCGGAGCGCTTCTCGCAGCCGAGAACGACCACGTCCTTGCCTTTTACTCCGACGGCGCAGGTTCCTGATTAGATGCAAAGGGAGAGAATAGGTGAGTTATGCTGTGATGGATGGATGGGAGGATTCCCTTGGGGTCGGAGGGGCTGGACGTACCTCGCTTGACGGCTTCCATGGCGTATTCGACCTGGAAGACGTGCCCGTCGGGGCTGGGGGCGGATTAGGATGTGTTTGCTAGAGCTTCATGAAGCTAGAAATTCATACCTGAAGACTGCGAAGAGGTTAGAATGGGGAATCCCTTCATCAACCAGGCCCGTAGCCAAGGTAGTAGCTAGCTTGTCTTACCTGAAAGAGCTCGGTCATATCCAGACATTATGGGCAGTAGGCGAGATTAGGGGTTTCTGAGAGGAAGGAGACCGAAATGGAGTTCACAGGAGGAAGTAGGAGGTCAAATAGATACAATTCGGAGTCTTGGGTCGTAGAATGCTGGGGTCCGGTGTCCGGCTGGGCGATGACAGATGGAGGTGGACGCGAGGCCCGCCGCTGCCTTGAGAGCTCCCAAGCGCTTGGCGCGCGGCTAGCCGCCATGACGCTCTCCCTCCTGCTGGTTCTCCCCGACCATCCTACTACTGGTACAACTCTTGCCTCCGGTGCTTGCATATTCCACGCAGTAGACAGTAACCACTTAGAATCAGGCCACAACAGGAAATTATAAGAAAATACCTCTCTAATGGTACCATGAACTCATCCTGGCACTGACCTAATCACCCACCAATAGATTATGACAACCAATGCGTAAATATCAACAGGCTCAATAAAAGAGAATTCTCATATAGTTGATCTACACCCCAATCGCCCATGACTCCCTGCCTAGCTGAGATCGGACCATGCTGTACATCACACGCTGAAAGGCGATACGAGAGAATGCAAGCATCGGGCTAGTCAAACCAATAATCACGTCTCGACTTTTGAAGGAGGGAACGACAAAACCCGCAGGGAAAGCATATGTAAACACAAGACGAGAACAGTATAAGTAATATGAAGAACAGTACAAGAATTATGGACACTCAGAACAATCTTGTCGCACGCACGACTCCCAATCCATGTGCCTCGCAGATGTCCCAAATCCGTCGTAGCTGGTTGAAATTTTGCTGGCTCAAAAGGAATACCCCAACACCCCCAACAGAGTCCGTTCCATTGTATCCCAACCATGATCAATACCGTGATTCTCCAATGATCCCTATTGTCGAAGCGCGCAGATGAACTCGGAAAGCCAACAAATAAAAAAAGGAAAAAAAGGAAAAGGAAAAAAAGACAATATCTAGAATGCAATGCCATGCTCGAGCCCTTCCTCGCCAGCGCCGCGGCTAGCCGGACAGGAGTTCCTCCCCTCCGCCGGAGGAGTATGCGCCCATGACGAGAGAAATGCGCGAAGCCCATGCCGCTCCAAGAAGGAAAGAAAAAAGAAATGAGAACCAACAACAAACGCGAAACGATGATCCAGCAGGTGGTGAAGAAGCGCATAGGACCGCCTGGGCCCACCTGCCCGGGCGGTCTTCTTCTATACCCTCAAACATCGCTTGCAAAGACACAATAGTAAGACATACCGAAAATGGTCTGACGTCAAATCTGCGAGACCAGGCAAAAACAGAAAGGACCAAATCGGACGAAACGACGACACGCTACCGGCCTGCTCCTCCCAACCTAATGCACCAGAACTGCAGAATTCCTTATACAAATGCGCATCAACGGAATACCAACCGTCACATATACCAACATATCCAGACCACCATATGGACAAAAACCGTGAGGGAGAACCGTCGTAGAAACAAATTTCTAATGTCCCCGGCTGAAACAACATTGTTGTTTCGTAACTTTTTACGCGGGGGACTTGTTCGCACTGGCGCCGTTGCGACGAGAGTGGGCATCTTCACCCACAGTCAAACCTCCCAAGCCTGTCGAGAGGAAGGCAAACGGATCGCTCGAGCCATCATTGCCGTAGAAGGCACCGTTGGACGCACTGGTCGACGAGTTGTGATCAGCCCCCGTGAAGGCAGCCTGGGCGGCCGGGTTGGCGAACGAGGCTGCGGAATGGGAAGCATTCGCGGAACCATAACCAGCGTTCATCTGACCCATAGGGGGGTATGCGGCCGGGGCGCTTCCCAAGCCCGAAGGCAAGGCAGCATAGTTGTTGGGGGGCGCGGCAAACTGTTGACCAAAGCCGCCAAAGCTACCAATGCTAGCCGCGAAGGGACCAGGAGCCGGAGTGCTGGTCATGGAGTTCGGGCCCATGCCAAAGCTCGAGGGGGGATCCATCGGGGACGGGAAAGCGGAGTCGGCCACCACTGCTGCTCCAGACCGAGGAGCACCGCAACGCAGGCAATTGATGTTCTTGGCGAAGTTGTGGTAACCGCAGCCCTCGGAGCCACACTTCCAGTCACCAGCACGGAAAGGCACGACACCGCCGTTGCCGCCCATGCCGCGGGAATGGCCCATTCCGTGGCCGTGGCCCATGTGAGGAGGCATCATGGACGGGGGGCCGTAGCCGTAGCCGTATCCCATCGGATCGGGGGCAGCGGCCATAGCCGGGAACGAGCAGCGGAAGCATGCAGTACGGCGCTGGAAGTTCGAGAATCCACATGAGGGGCAAGTCCAGTCGCCAGGACGAGGGCGGTTCTTGGAGGGAGGGAAAGGCGTCAGGATCTCCGCGGCACGGTCCAGGACACGGCTGGAGGAAGGAGACACCTCGATGGCCTTTTCGTTCAGAGCACGGCCGTTCATGCAAAGGCTCTCGGCAGCCTGCGTGGAAACAAATTAGATATCTGATCAAGGTCTGAGGATAGTGAAAGATAGCAAGCTAGTTCATACCTCTTCGTGGGACGAGAAGACCGCAAAGCCGGTGCCGGTAGGCTTGTGCTGATCCGGGGTGCGGAGGGTCCAGAACGCGATCGGACGACCGCCAAACTGAGTGAACCAGCTCTCCAGCTCGGACTGGGTGGTGTCGTGGGGGAGTCCGCTCAGATGAAGAACCTTGCTGCGCTCGGCCAGGAACGCACGAACGTCCGCTCTGGCATCCATGGGGCGGGTGAGGATCTCGGGGTGCTCATGCGGGGGCTGAGACTTCCGGATCAAGCCGCGCAGCACTCTGGCCAAGGTGATAGCCTCCTCCATGGCGCGACGGGGAGAGGCGGGAGCCAAAGCCTGCAGGTGGAAGGGAAGGTTGTGCTTGATGGGAGCGGAAGACTGAACGGGCTCGACCTCGAGAGCGGCGCAGATGTTGGAGAGAGAGCTGGGGCCGAAGGGCAGAGACTCGGGGTGGTGAGTCTGCCATCGCTGATATTCGGTGCGGAGGTCGAATGTCCGGGAGTGCTGAAGGTATGCCGGAAGCACGACTGCCTTGTCCCGAGCCTCACGGGGCAGCTGCACACGAAGATCCCATGAATCCAACGTCACGAAAGCGAACTCCAGGTTCTTGCTGATGAGGTGTTCCTGGGCGAAAGCGTCGAAGCGGTTGATGGCGTCGCGGAAGGTGCCTGCCGAGCGGACGTGTTCCCATGTCAGAGTCGTCAAGCTCGCTTTCAAAGACCGTCAGCCATTGAACCAAGGGACGGATGGATGCGGAGGGACGGAGTGGGATACGAGTGAAGGAGAGGAAGGCATTGTTGGGTGATTGGGTAGGCTGCGTTCGAACGGGGTGCACTTACTGCAAAGAGGCGTGATAGGGGTGTTGACGGGCTTGACAAGAACGCTCTCATGGTGCAACTAAGCCGAGGAAGGAAACATTGTCAGCAAATAGTACATCATGGAGGATTCTCTTGTTGGGGGGTTTAAGTGGTCTCGGTTGATGAAGGAAGCACGGCAGATAAGCATCCGAGAGGAGGGGGGGGGGGAATTTGTCAAGGAGGAGGGGGGAAAAGGCTGGGGCAATGAATGGATGAACGAGAGATTAATAAAATAATCAAGCCGACGTACCTCCTCGCAGGTTTTGGTATCCAACAAGATCCACCCCAACTCAATCACTTCAGCAGAGTCCTTAGTGACGTAGACTCCATGTTCATCGCAGGTGGTCGCAACGTGGATAACAATGTAGCGATCCAGCTTGGGGGTGGGTGCTGAAACGGCCATCGCTCACGGTTGTTGTCTAGACGTTGGCTGAATCTCACGGCCAACGGAGCGGGCAGGGGAGGGTGGAGGAGGGAGGGAGGAGGGAGGAGGGAGGAAAAGGGACGGGTCGGAGAAAGGAAAAAAACGTGTCTCTGCAGGCACAGCAGGCGACACGGGTTCAC